ATATATATATATATTACTTAATTAGTTTGTGCCAAAATGAATCGAGCATGAATGAAATTTTTTTTTTTTGTCACGCTTATATATCGACCGCAAAAAAATTGTAAGCGTTCGGTTAGTTAGCTTAGCGGATGATTCGAACACGAGTACTTAACGAGTCAAACACGTGTTGTTCACGAACATTGAGCTGTTTTGACTGCCATATGTGGTATATCATTGCACTTGTTGAGATCTAATTTTAGGATCTAGTAAGTTTTGCATACTTATTAATGTTTATTGATTTTCTTGAAATGTTTGAAATTAATTTGATACATAATTTATTAATCAATTTTTTGTAGTTTTATTTTTTTTCCCGATTTATAAATTATCTTTACTAGATTGTAAAGTACACTTGATAATATTTTAAGACTTTTTATCTATATTTATGGTATCATAAGTAAGAAAAATAATTGGTTTATTGTTAGATTTGTTTTCCTTAAGAATTTTATAAATTCTTATAAAAGTGGGCTTTCTGGAACCATTCGGTTTCCATTTTGCAAATTGTTTTCATCAGTGTGTTCTAGACATGTTTCCTTATTAATTGACTATTTTTATATGATTTACAGAGTCATATATTCTAAGATATAAGAAGTTTTCTATCAAGTTTATTGTTTTAGTTTTTTTTTTTAAGAAAAACTAGGAGTCGTTGGCTTGTTTTACCGTCGTATGATTCCCTTTTTCAAATAAATCTCTCAGTCGGATCTTAGAAATGATCCAAAGCGGAGAGGAATAAAAAATATAAGATACACAACAAAAGTTACACAAACAAATTTTAAACAATTATAGGTAGTGTGAGGTAAAACACCCTAAGGGCCATAGGTGGGCACCTAAGCGCAATAAGTAGGCACCTAAACGCCATAAGTGGGAGCCTAAGCAAAGGGGATCTCACTGCCTAGACAATAAAGGGGTCGCATATGCGCCCCCAAACTTACCATCTCTTTACCAAACATGGGATCTCACTGCCTAGACTAACATATCCCATTAAAAAGATTTTGGTCAATTATCAACCATGAGGAATAATTAGGGTTGAAAATCTCACCATCAGAAGAATAAGAATTTGTAGAGGAGAGTGGATAGTAATTTCGATCAAGAAGCCTTCATATCCATTAGCCTTGATTAATTTCAACACTTGAGCTTCCAAGTGATGTTGTTTTTAGCATTTAGGGGTGTGGATATGTTGTTGTTGATGTGTGATAAGAAACTTGAGCTGTGTAGGAATAGGACGATCACAAGGTAGGGGGTTAGGATAAGTGGAAGAGGCAACAATATGAGCCGAAGCATTTGAGGTAGAGTCCAAGGAACCCAAGAATATAAAAGATAATATAGGATGGGGAAAGATTCCTAAAAAAACAAGAAAGGAGGAAAGGAAGAGAAGCTTACAGAGGGAAACCATGAAAACCTTTGAGCCTTCTTGAACAAAAGACCGAATACCCAAACAAAAAAGAGAAAATAGAAGAGATGGAGACGAAATTCATAGTGTTGATGACCAGAAAGAAAATAAAAAAGGAGATGCAGGAATAGAGGGTGCAGATCCTTTAAAAGGAAAGAGTAAAACTAAGATGAAAATACTAATTTTTGGTTCAGAAGCCTTGAAGAGGTTGTGCGTTGTGGCACCGACGATTAGAGAAGAATCCTGTAGCAATAAGAAGAGAATGATGAGGTCTCGTGAGGCAAAGAATCTCTGATACATGAAAAGCTTCTTGGCTTCTTTTGATAATCAGACAACTAAAAAATAAGACAAAATATAAAGTGGAGAAGAAGAAACACAAAAAGAAGATACAAAATCAATCTTTATTACAATACAATAGTGAACTACACCTATATATATATGTGTATATATATATATATATATA